GAGAGAGAGAGANGGGGGGGGGAAAGGAAGGGATCCGAGGGAGAGCGAGAGGGAGCTCCGCGCGGGCGATGAGCGCGCCACGGCGGCAGAGGGTGGCGTATGAATCGCCGGATCCCGCCCTGATCGCCCGCGCGCGCGCCCGTCGGGAGGAGCGGATGGCGCGTTGGCGGGAAGAGGCGCGGGCGCGCTCGGAAGGGGTCGAGGTCGGGGCCCCGGCCGCTTCCGCTCCCGCGCCATCCCCACGGCGGCGGTTGATTCCTTTTGAATGCCGCCCGGACGTGCACGTGGAGGTTCGCATGAATCGCGCCGCGCAGCTCCGACGGGCGCGTCTGACGAGTGGAGGGCGAGGGGCCTCGGCGCCGTGCGCGCGGGGGCCTTCCCCGACCTCCTCGTCGGGCCTCGTGAACGTCGGCCGCCCACCTCGGACGGGAAAAGAAGGCCGTCCGGAGCTGCTGCCGACGCGTGAGAAAGGCGTTTTCGAGAATTCACACCACCCATCCACCTTGGGGAAGCCCCCCTCCGAGGACTTCTTGCGGAATGATTTCGACGTTTCATTGGGGGGCGGGTCTCGCGCCCCGAGGGAGGTCTCTGGTCAAAGGGCCCCGACCCCCAAAAGGGGTCTTAGGGCGGCTGAAAGCGCCTTAGGCGGTCCACAAGAGAGCACGTCGCCGAGAGGCATCACACAAGAACGGGAGGGGGCTACCGAGGGAAGGAGGAGGTGTGGGAGTCGATCAAAACGTCCTCAGCAGACTTTCTATAACGATATGATCGCCGAACGTATCCTTTTTGGCGACGAGGAGTCGTTGGAAGAACTGGGTCGGGAGCTCCTCAAGAGGCAACTGGAGGATTACCAGAGAAAACATCAACGGTAGATTCCTGTTTTCTTCTCTTTAACTCATCGATCGATAATTCAGGCTTCGGAAAAACCAAAATCACGACAGAAGCTTGGATCTGGTCCTTCAAAAAAGTTTATCTCAGGGTAAGCAGCATTCACCACCTAGAATTCCCTCCGTATATTTGCTCACTTTGGCAGTTTCATATATAGGCTCCACCATATATATGTATTTTTGTTTGATTCCTTTCGGAGCTCCCTGCCTCATAAAAAAAAGGTGACCTAGTATGCGATGGAAAAATTATAGTGAATCTTTCATTGAGGAAAAGGATAGCCACTAGTATCACTCTTTTCGTTTATTTTTTTTTCTGAATGAAGATCTTGGTTCCATTTTCTTTTTCTACTTACTTTGGTTCGTTCAACTCTTTGCTTCCCGAAATTAGTGTTTCATCCGTGCGTTTGCACATTTGCGCATTAGGCTGTCCAACTGAAAGGAAAAAAACACGTAACAAAGCAAAAGTTAATAGAAATAAGAAAGGAGGGTTCATGTCCTTCAATGACACATCAGACTTGAACAGGTCAAGGTTGGCGGTCACAGTGCCTAATTTATCCTCCCTTGATATGCGCGAGTCTGTCGCTCTCATCAACCAAATCACAAACCTTCTGGCTGATGTTGCGGCTAATCCCCCGCTGCCAGGGGTGCCAACCACAGAGATCGAGAGTCAGATGGTGATGTTACAATCGGTTCTCGATCCCATCAAGGAGCACGTCGCGGCGATGCGAATGGCCCGAAAATTAAAAGAACAACAACATCTCGAAAAGGTTTATCGGCAACGTGTGGAAACAGCGGAGAAAACTAAAAAGAAAAACGAGGAAACGGAAAAGTATACGACGGAGCAACAGCAGCGCATAAAAGACACAAAATCCTTCTATTACCAAAGTCTAAACAAAGGAGTTGCTGAGAAAGCATCTCAATGCAGGGCGCGAAATGAAGATGCCCTACTCAGTATCATCAACAAGGGGGAAGAAACTGAAAGGAGCCGATCTCGCAGGCTGGAGAAACTCAGGCGTGATCGTGCGATGAAGCAGCTCGAGCTGCGAAGACGGCGATTGGAAAACATGGAACGCGCCAGGTCTGTCTACTCCCGTTGCCACATTCAGAGAACCATGGAACACTTGGCGAGCCAGCAAGCGGCTGAAATGCGCGCGAAGGAAGTTGAGGCAAAGCTAGATTCTGTGCGAAAGTCTCGGATTTCAACCGTAGCGGCGAGGTGTTATAGCAGATGTGACGCAAAGGCCTCAATCGATGAGGAAAGTGCTAGATCTCTACCGAACCTCAAAAATTATGAGGAACTCCTAGAGAAGTTGGAGGCCAAACATCGCCAGCAGCAAGAGCGGTGTGCGGAACAGAAGGCAGCTCACCTAGAATATCAGAGAATGCGTGCGAACTATGCTGCCAATAGACACCTTCGGCAAAAGACTAACGCTTTGCGCCTCATTGAAGAGAACATAGCTAGAAATGAAGCGATCATGGAAAGATTCAATCAGAAAATGCAAAGAATCAAACAACTTAAGGAGGCTCAGATTTCGGAATGCAAAGAATCGCGTAAAAACTTAATCCACGATATCGAAGTGCATAAATCTCGTGCAGATCAGATTCAGGCGCAACGGGAGATCGATATTCTGTACAAGAATTACCGACGCTGGAATCATCGTGGGGCTTGTATGATAGAAAAAGTCCGCCGAGCGCTTTACGCAGACGGAAGCGAGTCAGATTCAAGAATTTTTGGGAGTGCGGCAGGTCGCGATTGATCATCGGATTCTCGCAAGCACACCCTTTATATTCCAGCTTCCTTAGAGTATCCATTATGAATTTCGAAGTAAGTAGAAACACTGAAGATGATCTCAAATTTAACGCTTTTCTTCGTTTTGAGAGACTTCTTTGTTTTGCCATATCCTCAAACTTTAATCTTATATTTTTACTGTTGCAACAACAATACGTATTATGTATGCCAGCTTTCTTCATTACCAGCGTTTTATTACATTGTTTTGATGACCATGTGACTCTTTGATAAGCGTAAAAAGTAGATAAATCATGCATGTAACAATACAATCACATGCTCATCGCGAGCGCTAAGCATGAGGCGTTCGAATATCCAATTATCTTTTGATGTGAATTTCAGCATATCTATGTAATCTTGTACATATCTTCTAATCAGCACAGCAATTATATTTGTTTGCTGAGCAGCCTAACTGTGTACAACCTGCAAGCATTTCCTCCGGGAATAATTATATTATACGTTTTGTTGTTTCTTGGTTCCATGTTTTGTTCAAGGTGTAACCCCAAATGACGCAATCCCAAACATTCATAAGCCCGTCTGAAATGCCAAATAGACCCCTTCTCGCGTGGTATGGACTTTTTCCTTTTTAATTCTTCTCTCCTTGGTCCGTACCTCGTGACACACAGTGTGCGTATCTAGATATATATAGATATCTATATCTATCTATCTATCTATATATATATAGAGAGAGAGAGAGAGAGATAGAGAGAGACTCGTATACCCTTAGGTAGATCATATCGTACGTGCATCGGGTGCATCAGTAAACCAAATGCGGTGTCACAGCCACCCCTTCGCGGTTACGGCGCCGCTCCGTCAGCTGCAGAATTGGGCTCGTGTGGCCGCCACGCATGGAGCAGGGCTCGTGCGGCACCAGCCCATGGCCGCTGCCGGTGTTGCAGCCGGGCGGACGCGGGGCCCCACTCAGGCCGCGCCGCCCGCGGACCTCTTCCGGACGAAGGTCCATGAAGGTCTCGGTACCAGCGAGTCCGATCCCTACACCCGAACGCTGCCGAATCAGGAGTCGATCCCGCCCGAGAGCTCGGTCCTTCAAGCCGCCGTCGCGTCGGCGCCGACGCAGGAGGAGATCGAGAAATTACCAAAAAAATGGGGGTTGATGCAGTATTGGATAGGCGACACCTACCCGCGTCTCCCTCTGTACCTGGCGCAGCTAGCCATTCCGCATCCGCTGCCAGTCTCACCGACCGCGGATGAACTTGTTGGTCAGTTTGAGGCACAAATCCCTCTTATACTCCATGACCAATCTAGGGATATTCAGGAAAAAATGTTGATGTTCTGGCGCTCAGCGGTTACCGCCTATGACGCTTTGGCCTTGGATCACATTTTTGACCGCCAGAAGTTTGAACGGGGTTTGAAGGAGCACCACCGCCAAACGTTGGAGTCCGCCCAAGCCCTTTCCCTTCGTGAGGAGCCCTTGATGGCTCTTGAAGTGCTGCGTCGTAAGACAATTCTGAGGCGGAACAAGGTGATTCGCGAAGGTCTGATTCCTTTGGTTGAGCAAGGTACGTACTTCGGCTTTGGGGATGGAGTCTGGCGCGTGTTTTTCGAGGCTGTGGACCATAACAAGCCGAAGATCTTTGGGAAAGATGGCGGTCAACTCTTAGGATACGTCTGGGACGCGATTATGGACGAAGATGTAATTCGCACACCGTCCGTTACTGCCTGTGTGGCGCTTTATTTGACGCTGTTGTCTGTGATCTACAGTCCAAGTCTTGTAATGGATGACGCAACCCGGGTGTCCTCGAACTCTATAGACGAAGGTATTGGACACCCTAAGAAGAAACTTGGTAACAAAATTTTCGAACTCACAAGCCCCATTCGTAAGCGTAAGTTTGCGGAGCCTGTTATACGCGAGATATTGGAAAGTGTGGAGGGTTCTCGGAACCTCTCCAAAGTCCTTCGCTCGTGCGGGATGCACGAGCTCAGTCGTGAGGCAGCGCTCTGTGAAGCGATAAACGATAGCCAACGCCTCCTTGAAGCTGATGCGGCGGCCCTTTCGGCACGTTTCGATAGCACAACGGAGGTTAAGTCGCTTCTGGCCTCTATCATGGGAGGTACGGACGAGGCAGTACGCTCGCACGTTGCGAGTACCTTTGGCATATCACCGACAAACGTCAATGTTGACTGGGATAAAGTCTTTATGGACGTGGACTGGCCGACGCACTGGCGCCGCTTGGCAGTGGAGCTTCTCAGCAACACTGCCGTGCTGACGTCTGTGCACCAACTTGTCAAGAATGTTATCAGCTATAAAGGCTCCATAAAGCGGCTTTTTAACAAGGAGTATGAAGAGGAACTACAGCAGGTCATTGCCGCGCGCCAGGCTCGGGTGGCTAGCAAGCGAGCCAAAACAGCCACCATCGTGGCAGAGCTAACTTCTTTTCGGAATATCGACCAAACCCTTGAAATGTTACGCGGCCTTGGTGTTCCGATGGAAGAGCTTGAGTATGAAGCGGCATCGATGGAGGAGCGGCTTAAAACGAAGCGCCCCACGGTGGACCCTGCGGTGCTCAAATGTCTGCTCGAGGCTATTGGCAAACGCCATCCAACGTGGATCAAGGCCGGGGTCCTCCCGCCATCACCCGCTATGCTGGATAACGATCCCCTCAGCGCTTTAGAAATGATGGTACGCATCTTTGTGAGGCTTGTTTATCTTCCCCAGGCTGGGGCGGCCTCCATCGCCCAGCACTTCCGTCGCCGTATCGGTGCGATCGGCAAGGAAAGCTTTCAATATAACGTTCCCACCGAAATGGGCATTGTGGAGCAGTACGATAACCTCCAATACAAGCGCTATGATTGGCAGGGTTGGTATCAGCGTATGGTGGATGTGCACAACCGCAACGTCTCGATCCGATGCCGTATCGATCACCTGCGGCGGCTGGATAACTACGGCGCGCCGCTGGTCGATCTGCAAACGGAGCGGCGGCTTCGAATCATCTGCGGCGATCGTGTTGGGATGGGGGTGCTGAAACTGGATAGCAATAAATACGAAGATCAGGCGGATAACATTACGCACGGCACGATTAAGCTCTCCGAGATACTCGCAGAGTCGCGAAAGGCGCAGCTGGGGCCGGAGTATTGGCCAACCGTGGAGGTGAAAGTTCGAAGGCCAAGCGGGCAAACCCAGGCGTACTACTCTAACCTGGATAACGACCGCATCGAGAAGCGAAGCAAGGAGCTGTACAAGGCCTACACCGAGGCCAAGAAACGCAGCTTATTTGTAACGCCGATGGACTTGTGGCTTGAAGTGAAAGGAGCACAGGCTAGGAAAGCTGTGAAAAGCACAGATTCCGAGGGCTACACGATTGAGAGCCTGGAGCAGTCTCTCGGAGACGAATAGATTTACAAGAATGGTGTGAGTGAGAGGTGTTTTGAAGAAGTAATGGTGGGAGTTTTTGTTGACGCGAAACCTGTTGAAGGTTCCAATAAGTTGTGATAGAAGCGCAACCACGCGATGGTTTTGTCAGGTTGAGTATGTTTCTAAACCCCCCTTTTTTTTCTGCATATTTAGTAAATCCTGCAAGGAATTTATACAGAAAAGTAGTGAATTATTGACATTGAACTGAAAAGGAATACACTAACAAGGAGACCCTGACCTACCTATATATTAAAAATCGAAACCATCATGAAGGTAGAGCTTACACTTCAATTTCTGGATGAGTGGATGCTGCGGTGGCGAAAGTTTCAGACCGAATCCGATTGGCGCATCGAGAAGAATCGTCAGTGGTGGCGCCAGGTGAATATCGGCATCACCGCCATGGTGTTGGGCGGGCTCACGCTCTACACCTCTGGGATCGCCACCCTTAAACGGCAGTTCGGCCCTCCGCACTTCTTCGACGTTGGGGTGGATGTTCGTCTCAAGCAATACATTTGCAACACATTGGCATCTCGTCCGCGCTACACCCCGACGGGGTATGGACGTTTACTGGTGGTGGGCATCCCTACCTACTTTACCTTTGTGATCCTGGAGCACATCCAGGAGCGTCGTCGTCTGCGTCGGTATCTGGCGCAGAACACCGTCTTTGGTGAACAGGCACGCCGTTTGTTGAATACCTCGAAGATTGAGGAGTTTTTGCCGGTGAACATACAAGCAACTCTTCCACCAAACGAGTCGAAGATCTATAGTTGATAGTACTTGGCGAAAGGCGCAATATTAGTGGATGCTCGCTAGGATCAGTGCGGCATGATATTGCTGGCTGTTGTTTTATCGTTGTCATTGTAGCGATATCTTTCTAGTTTTATATTTAGGTATTTTGTTTTGTAGCTAAATCCTGCTCGTTGATCCACAAGTGAAGAAGAAAAGGTTTCACCTATTGACATCAACGGAAATTGATACAATGACGACACGATTCAGTAGTTCAGTTTATTTCCTTCGCTTCTCGTATCCACGTTCTTCTTCATCGCGCTTTGAAACGTGAGTCAACCTCATTTGACGTTGTGTGTGTTTCTCGAATCTTTTTCTTTTTTCTTCACTTACATTCTATTACTTTGCTTTGTTAGTATTTTTTTCCCCTTCGCGGATTAAAATCGAAGCTTTTCCTATAGGTGTAGTTCGTTTTCTCTTTCCACCCGTAGTATAGCCTCATGGAAGATTGCTTAGTTGGTTTGGCACCTGCTCTAGATTCTTACGATTTGTTTAGTAAGTCTGATCAACAACCAATAGGGCAATACTATGACAATCGATACTTCCCGAAGCTTATATTTCGAGGCGATGGTGATGAGACCGAGCACCAAGAATCATCCCCATGTGATACAAGTTCCGCCAGGTTTAGCAATGAGAGCAGTAACTTGCTCTCGTACTTGTATTCTTATTTCTGCCAGAAGCATGGTGTATCAAACTGCAGTAGTGATGTGCAGGAACGGCTTTCACAGCCATCCGAATCGATCGCCTCCGCCTTCCTAGTGGTGGGCGCGTTTCTGCAGAGGGTCCGAGTTCCTCACTTAACCGTGCTCAATTTCGATCGTTGCTATTTTGGAGGCAGACAACTTATGGCCCTTGCGGATCTTCTCGGTGTCTCTTATAAAACTGGGGATCACACAACTACTTCCGGTGGGAGCCTCCACGCACGCAACTTTTCACTCGTGCCGTACTTATCCAAGTTATCTGTGAGAGACGCGAAGCTGAATTATTATAACAATGAGGATGATCAATTTGATTTACACCTTTCTAAATCATACGACTACAGTGTGGTGAGCGGTAACGATGCATTTGGGTATTTCTTTCGCGCTCTTCGCGGACATCCTTCCCTAACGACGTTAGACGTATCTGAAAACCCGATCGGTCCGTTTCTCTTCACACATCTTGTGCGTCTCGTTAAGACGACACCATTTCTAACCGCAATCCATCTCGAGCGCACACTGCTCTCTATTGATGAAGTTCAAATCATTACTGCACATTGTTGCGTAAACGAGCGTCGACAAGCAAAGTCTCTCCCAACGGAAACTGGGGACGATCCCCTTCTTTCAGATGATAGAACGGAGAGAAATATTTATGCGTGGGTACTTGCGTTGCGTAAGTGGGTCGTCGCCCATCAGAATTCAGATAACGATCTTGTTGAAGAGGTGTTATGGCATCGTAGCTCGGACGATTTAATTATGCACGGGATCGTCTCGGAAACCCGCTCGCCGTTTATCACGATGGAGTGTGTAACGGAGAAGATGCTCAAGGCCTATTCACAACTGAAATCCAGCGCTATCAAGACCTCTACAAGCTTCCTTTCCGTTTCCCAGGATGCTAATTTATTTTCTTATAGTGATGAATACACCACGACTGAGCAGAATAAACCGCTTTCAACTTTGTCGTACTCCAGTAAAAGCCCTTCACTCGAGGGGTTTCCATCCTTCTGGGAGTCTTTATCCCATGTTCTTTATACGCCCTATTTTCTTTACTATCTTCCGAATGAAAGCCCTTTGTTGTGGTCCCCCGAGTCGATCGACGCCCTTCGGAGTGCGTTTGTTGATCCCGTGCGCGCGTATAACACGTTTCTCGGCGGTCGCCCCGTTCCCAGAGGCGTCCCGCGGCCTCTCAAACCCTCCACCATGGCGAGCGACGCGGCGGCAACGCCGGAGGAAAGGCGATCCCTCCTCGAGGCGATCGGCCACTCCGCGTTGATGCGGAAGGCCTTCCTTCAGTTGCTCCCACCGCCCCCGAAACCCATTAGCCATTTCGAGGGCTTCGCGGAGACGAATCCGCAGTATCGCACCGTCGCGGAGGAAAATTACTACTTTGTGTGTGATAAACAAAAGAAGCAACGGGAGCTACTCCTTAACAAAATCGTGGATTCTTTAGAGTTGGTCTCTTATCGAGTAGGGGATGTGTTGTACAAGGAGGGTGGGGAACCGTCTTGTTTGTTTTTTATCCCGCCATCCGCCCTGGGTGATCGTCAATCAGAGAAGACGATGCATGGAGCGGCGGTGCAGGTTCGTTTGGAATACACCTTAGTGGAGGAAACAGCGAATGCCATGCTCATGAACCCAATTGCCACTCCCGTGGAAGGTGCTGAACGGACGAAACTCCAATCCCTCGTGTATGAAGAAGGGGATTTTGTGGGGGAATTGGAGGTTCTCGGTGGGGTCGGTTGCCAACCATCGAGGATTGATTCGATGGTGTCGCCTATAGGAGCCCGTTGTACGCCTTCCCAGCACTTGCTTGAGCTGCAGGTGCAGAAATATCGCTTCAGTACGGCGAGGGTACAGGCTCGCGGCGACGACGGTTCCGCGGGTGGTCCTGTGCGTTTATGGCAGCTGCCGATGCAGGCCGCGTTCTTTTTCTTGCATCAACCTTTCCAGCAGATCTACCATCGCGCCACGGCGATTTTTGAATATTTTCCGGCACTTTCACGTCTCTCTCCGATCGCGACCCTCGCGTTCGCGTACGCTGTGGAGCCGTTTGCTGTGGAGTTATCCCGTCAAGAAATATTCGATGGCTCCACGGCGCGTGTGATCGCTGACAATCGTCTGGTATCTAGCCACATCTACCTCCTCGCCAAAGGGGAATACACCTTTTCCACCTACACGGCGCTGGGGTCTTGGATTGACAAGATATTGTTTTCCGGCAGCGTGGTGGTGAGTGGATCGGCCCACCGGGATGCGAAGATGGATCCCGAAATCAGCTCCCACGTGGCCGACACGAGCTCATCGGCCTCGAATGTGGTGCTTGGAAAAGCCATCGCGCTGCGGCAGTTTCGAGAGGCGAAGCGATGGAAGCAACGGGCGGAAGCCTCTGCGCTAAAGACGGATTCCACTTTAGACGAGAGTGACCCCATGGATTCCAGGGAGGCACGTAAAGAAAGAAACGATGGAGTAACGGAAGGGAAGGAGGGATTGTCTTCTTCCAGAACACCTCCTTCGCCCGGAGATCAAAGACTGTTGTTGGACGTTCTTGATGCCGGGGGAGAGGAGAATGTCCGATGCCAGTGGAAGTATTATGTGATTTCGAATACGCAATTTTCCTCCTTTCCCAAGGAGGTCAAGCTCGCTATTCTGTCTTCGTGTGCAATAGTGACCAGCTGAATGTTGTTGGACTTATGTTTTTTCCCTGTTTTTCAATTCCTTAGTAAATTCTATCCATTTGCGTTGAGGAATTTATAAAATGGAGAGGGCGATGAGACGGGCAGAATTCACACATGTAGACTATAGCTCGTGGTCGTCCCTCCTCTTCGCATAAGCGTTCTTCTTGTATATTAGAAATGGTCTCCTGATCAAAAGCTGAATAAAATCGCACTTCTCAGAAAGTCATCTTCATGTTTCCCATATCCGCATTATGTGTGAATTGTTATGCTTCTCGTCCTTTATCGACTTTAGTAGTTCTTCCTTGCTTGTACATTACTGCTAGGCTGTTTAACAACGAGGCGTTAAGTAAGGTGATAAATTAGCTTCGTTAAGTTTCAAAATAGACACTAATAAATTTGACCACAAAAACATAGCACGCATAAGTAATTTCCCCATTCTGGCCCCCACCCATTTCCCGGAGCTCCGAGTGGTGTTTGCAACTCACACTGAGTTAGATAACCCCCCATCCTACTTTACCCCAACTCACCTCACCTCATCCCCTCCCAATAAAAAAAAGAAAAGGAACGGAACGGAACGGGTAGAAAACGAAAAAAAATAGCCACCCCCCTTGACGCTAGACGTAGCTTCCCAAGCGTCTTTCCCCCACCCCTCCTCACCGCGGGTGTGATCGCATCATTTGGGCGCCCTCGTTCCCCCCTTTCTCCCCTCTCCCTTTTTCCTACATTCATAGTGTCGTAGATGAATCCGACCTCCAGCGTGGACCATGCGAAGCCGCGCGGTGGGACCTCGCACCTTCCCCCTCCGCTCGATCTCGCCGCCCCCGAGCCGCTTCCCGCGTGCGCGACGGAGAGTCCGATTAAGGTGACGGTGCGCACCCGCGACGGGACCCGCTCGCCCTACCTCACCCCCATCCACGCCAACCCCCACGTCGAGTTTGAATTCAAACCCGGGAAGCCCTATGGCGGGGGGTCGTACTCCGGCACCTCGAGCCCGGCCCTCGCGACGACCCCGGTGCAGGCCGCGCTGTGCTTCCCCAGCTTCGCCGCGTTGGCGGGGCCGCCGGAGGCCTCCTCGCCGCCGCCGCGGGAGGCCGT